TTGCCTACTTGTGCTACATTGAAGAGAAATGCTCAAGCTTTAAAATATTCAAAAAGAAGTGGTCCAACTAGGATATCACTGTGATTTAACCTTTGAAATGTGAACTAATTCTAAGTACATCATAAGTAAATAAGGAACAAACTTCAACAATAAGAAACATTCTGGTGGTTTTTCATGACACAACCTTTGATTGCTCACTTGTTCCACTTTGCAGTTGATTTATGTTGAGGAGAAATGTACAAACTTTGAAGTGGATATCCTTCTTGAGATGGCATAACTAGGCCATCAATGTGATTTAACCCTTGTAATGTGAGGTAACATACAGTAAAATTGAATACTTTAATAAGGGAGGGAGGCTGGTTTTCATTGCATAGGCTGTTATTGCCCACATTTGCCACCCTGCAATTTACTTTAATTTGAAAAGCTTTCAAGTAATGCCATACATGAGATGGCATAACCATAATCTCAGTACAATTTAACCTTTGAAATGTGAAGTAGTGTGTGTAGGCACATTATAATGGATGAATAAGGAACTTCACCTTTGAATTTGGAAAAATAATGTCAGTTTCAAATTGGGAATTGGTAGTAAACTTCAGTCTTGTCTAAATTTTAGAATGTACCTAAATAACTGAATATACTTCAGTATTGTTTTAAAATTAAAGTAAGAAATGAAAAACTTTTTAAACAAAATCTTTATTAAGTTATCATTTAATATTTACTTTATACTAGGAAATAAATATTAATGAATATTAATTTCCTATAGCTTTTTTTTATGAAAGAAATCTTACTCTAAGTCGTGTAAGAAACCAGAGTTGTTTTTAAGGAGGAGGGACTCACTTTCAATCCACAAAAATAAAGACCTATATGAATATAGTTCATAAGAAAATAAGTATAATAAAATTTAAGTTTTATAAAGACAAGTAGGGATTGACATATACATAACCTAGCTAGCTATAGTAATATAGAAAGTTTTATTGTTACAAAAAGTATTGAAACAAGAAAGTAGAAACTACAAAAATTGAGTTATTTAGAATTTAAACATTATTTATTTTTACTTTGATAGATCACTATATGTAAGTTAGTCTGAGCCAAAGTAGGGATAAAATATTGTAAATTTTAAGTAATTCAGTTTTGTAGTTTTGATTTTCTTGTTTCAGTACTTTTTGTAGCAATAAAACTTTCTATATTACTATAGCTAGCTAG